TACTGCTAACCCTTTGACTCAAGCTGCAGGTTCACATCATATGACTACCAGGTCCAAATCTGGCATTTATAAGCCAAAAGCACTTGTTGCTTCCTCTATATTCAGTGAACCACATAACATAAAGGAAGCTCTTGCTAACCCAGCCTGGAAAGCTGCTATGTTAGAGGAACTTAAAGCCCTTCAGAAAAATGGAACTTGGAGCCTTACACCTCTTCCACCTCACAGGCACTTAATTGGCTGCAAGTGGGTTTTTAAAACCAAACTTAATGCAGATGGCTCCCTTGACAAATACAAGGCCAGACTTGTAGCTAAAGGCTACTCCCAAACACCAGGTTTTGATTATACAGATACTTTTAGTGCTGTAGTGAGACCAGCAACAATCAGGGTCATCCTTTCTCTTGCCCTTTCTAGATCTTGGTCCATTAGGCAGTTGGATGTTGCAAATGCCTTCCTCAATGGTGTTTTAGATACAGACTTGTACATGGCTCAACCACCTGGTTTTGAAACCCATGCTTACCCCCCTCTTGTTTGCAAACTCCATAAGACTCTATATGGTCTCAAACAAGCATCAAGAGCTTGGTCTCAAAAACTCAGCTCAGTTCTTTTATCCTTGGGTTTCTCTACTACAAAATCTGACACTTGCTTGTTCATTAGACATTCTCACACTTCCACAACTATCCTTATGGCCTATGTTGATGACATTATTGTTACTGGATCTTCTCCTTCTGAAATCTCCACACTCATTTCACAACTGCAAGTTTTTTTTCCTGTCAAAGACTTAGGCCCACTTCACTATTTCTTGGGCATACAGTTCACTCATAACTCTCATGGTCTTTTTCTCTCACAAAGGAAGTACATTCAGGACTTATTACTCAAGCTGAATATGCAAGAAGCAAAAGGATGTACTACTCCTATGAACACTCATCCACCACTTTCAAAGAAAGATGGATCTCCTATTGATGAAATCACCTTATATAGAAGCATGATTGGTGGACTTCAGTATGTTACAGTGACTAGACCTGAGCTCTCTTTTAGTGTCAACAAGCTCAGTCAGTTTATGCATTCTCCCCTTGACTCTCATTGGAAAGCAATGAAAAAAGTCTTCAGATATTTAGCAGGAACTATAAATCATGGCTTGCAGCTTTTTAAATGTCCTTCTCTCCACATTTCTGCCTTTGCTGATGCTGATTGGGCCACTGATCCAGATGACAGGAGGTCTGTTTCAGGCTTTTGTGTTTACTTAAATAATAATCTCATTAGCTGGAGCTCAAAAAAACAGCCTTTGGTTTCTAGAAGCAGCACTGAGGCTGAATATCGTAGCTTAGCCAAGGTTACTTGTGACATACTTTGGTTACAAAACCTTCTGCAAGAGTTGAGAGTCCAACCTTCCTCTATACCCATCATATGGATTGACAACCTTGGAGTAGTTTCTCTGTCCAAGAATCCAGTTAACCATTCCAGGATGAAACATATTGAAATGGATCTCCACTTCATTAGAG